CCTGGCCAATTGTATGATGCATGCTCAAGAGTAAGAAATCCTAAGAATTTATTTAGTTACGAGTTTTCTCGTATAGTTAAAACAATAATCTCCGTACAGGGTCCAAATATACGCAAAGGTAGCCTTCCGTAATTAATTATTGACTTTTTATCTTTATTGTTATCTATCTCTACATAATATTCTGTAAATTCCGTTAGTCTATCCGCCCGTCCACACGTCTGTCTGCTCGTCCCTCACACACTCTAAAATAACCATAAATTGACCGAACAAAACCAAATATTGGGAAGAAGTGCAAACAGGTAAGAGGATACAAGGTACAGTTGATTTTACTAAGGTGCGTAGCTTAGTACAATAAATTTTCACAATTTTTTTTTTTTTGGGGGGGGGTAAAAGTTTCATTAGTTAACATAAAAAATACACTACATTAAAAACAAGTTAATGGTTAAAATAACAACTACTTATTTAATAAAAATGCAATATTGTTTTTTGCATATCTTTTCATTAAGTTTGTATCATAAAAAAAAAAACACTTTCCAGATTGCCTGTTATTTTTATGAACTATAAACATATCGCAGGGCCAATCGCCTCAAAAAGTTGGAATTTTGTTCCAGAAACAAATAATTACGTATAACCAGTTTTATATTGCATGCTCAAGAGTAAGAAATGCTAAGAATTTATTTTTCGCTGTAAAAAAAAGAAAAACACTTAAAAAATATTGTTTACGATGATGTCATATGAAATTAAATTAAATTAAAGAAATTATTAAACTGTTAAGTAGGTGTTTTGTCAAAGTATTTTTCAAAACAAGTCTACTTATTTCAGTTTCATCGATTGGTTTGCGAAATTGAACGACACGTAGAGTTTGTAAATATTGACAAAAATGTCAGTGATAAAAACAATATTAAATTACTGTAAGGATTTCAGCACGAATCGTGTGTTGAAAAAAATTAGCATTTAAAAAAGAAATAAAAATATAAAAAAAACGCCTCAAAAATAATAGTAAAAATATAAAAAAAAAAATTAATGAGAAAAAACCCCAAGCACTTGTAAATAGATATATTCATCTTATTTGGTAGTAACGAAATTTCAGAAGATAAGTGTTGTGGTAGGATCCACCTAATTTGCATAGTGGAGTACCGACCATATAAATATGGTTGGTACCGGGAAGAGAGGAAGGAATCAAGAGATTCAATCAGAGACTCTGCCCGACTGCGACTCAGTCAACACATTCTCAAGGAACGGTCTTACCAGGAATACACAAATGACTATATGTAAATATTGTGTACACTTTCTTGTTTCAATACATTTTGTTCTAAGTACATTTTGTGTTGCATTATTATTCCATGCATTAGTCAAGTTTCAACAATAAGGTAACCCGTAATAGACCAAAAATAAAAACAACAGGATTTATCGAACCATGAAACAAGAGGGGCCTATGTTATAACCACATTCGACATACCAATTCGTTTACTAGCTCAGTTACTAAATCTACTTTCAAAATCTACCACAACTCTAACTGTAGAAGTCATAACATAATTTACCTATTAGAATGTACACTTTGCCACAAACATTATGTGGGAATATCAGAATGGATCTTTCACTACAGAATTAATAGTTATTGGAATTGGATCAAGTCGGCTCCCAATGAAAGATTATTACCTGTAGAACAACATTTCCGCCTAGTAAAACATGATTTTAAAAGCCATACAAAATTCAAAATAATTGAAAATAATAAAAATAGACAGAAAAGATACCGCTAGACAAATAATGGATGAACATGAAGACAAATGGATTTTGCGCCTCTAAACAATTCGTCCAGACGGACCTAGCCATAAATTTAACAACATATGTAGTATTAATATATTACCTCATAAATCAAGCACTGCCCACATTTCTCGCTGAGAAGACAGACATGCTTGCAGAGGTGTTGCGGTCTCACACTTATACACACACTCACAGAAATATATACTCATACACACATCACACACGCTCTCAAAGAACTAAAAGATAACATACACTAAACACATACATTCCCATTCTTAGCAACCAATGAAAATGACAAAACGACTAAGGAGATAATTTTTAAAGTCAGTTATCTCCCATTCTCTATCTTAAAAAACAACGTGAAAGAGGCCGTTTGACCAACAAAAGGACTGGCCAAAATTAACGATAAAACAACAAATGAAAATTACAGATAAATTTCACTTTCTTCAGAAATAGTCATTCACTCCTGGATTTCACTTCTGCTAACAAGGAGGCATTTTTTTTTCTCTTGCTGGCCGAAACTAGACCAGGAACATAACTAAAATAATAAAACGAAAAAATATTAATATACAACCCAGTGTGTCTGATAATTTTATTTTTTCTATTTTTTATGTTCAAAACGTATTTATCTTGTTTATATTTATTGACTCCATAGAGGGGGAGAAAATATTTGAAGGGATAAATGAATCTACCCATTCATACGGTTGAGTGGGGTGTTGGATCCGATTTAAGGGCAAAGTGCTAAGAAATAACCCCCAAATTTATGGACAAATCCTACAGATGCATGCTGGAACTGTTTCCTAAGCAATAAAAATGGCCTCATCACCCATAGTTTTATTCTTTCTTACCGATAGAACGCCAAAACTAGTTGACAGTATACATTTTTGCTGGTTTGAACCATTGTTGCCTTAAAGTCAGAACGATATAACCAATTGACTGTATCCCTTTTGCAGGTGAGCACCATTCTTGCCTTGAAGTCAGAACGCTATAACCACTTGATTTTATGCCTTTTGCCTGTGAACACCATTTTTGACCTGGAGCCAGAAAGCTGTGACCAATTGAATGTATCCCTTTTGCATGTGAACACCATTCTTGACCTGAAGCCAGAACGCTATAACAAATTGAGTGGATCCCTTTTGCGGGTGAGCACCATTCTTGCCTTGTAGTCAGAACATTATAACCACTTGACTCTATCCTTTTTGCCTGTGAACACTATTCTTACTTTGTGAACTTTTTGCCTTATTTCTTTCGCTTTGCCTAATGTTGACTTGTATATTATATTGTTTGATAAGTATTATGTTACTCTCTGATTGTTCTTCCTTTTCTTATTGTTTATTTAATGATAATTTTGTCAATTTTGCTTGTTGAAAATTTTATCAATTACACTTAACCCTCTGAGACCTGACCACCGGTAGACAATTGGTAGAAAAAATGACGTAATGCCCATCCACCGGTTGAAGTGTGGTAGAGAAAAATGACTTAATCCCCAGCCACCAGTTGAACAGAGGTAGAGAAAAATGACTTAATCCCTAGCCACTGGTTGAACAGAGGTAGAGAAAAATGACTTAATCCGCAGCCACCAGTTGAAAAGAGGTAGAGAAAAATGACTTAATCCCCAGCCACTGGTTGAACAGAGGTAGAGAAAAATGACTTAATCCCCAACCACTGGCTGAACAGAAGTAGAGAAAAATGACTTAATCGCCAGACACTGGTTGAACGGTGGTTAAACACTTGTAACTATTTTTCTATCTACCATGAAACATTACATACCATGTGAATTTTGACTCAGGAGCTCAGGCGGAAGGATTAAAATTGTTCAGGAACGCAGGGCTCAAAGGATGAATCATGACAAATTCTGCATACGGGTATTTACAAATTATTGTTTGTGGTGGGGGGATTCAAATGAATTTAACAAGCAAAGATTTCAAATGTTGATTAAGATCTAAGGTGAGTATTTTAGTAATGAAAGGAGTTCCATTGGAAACCACACATACACACACACATACACAACTCTATATTTGGTAGTCGAAAATAATTGTTTTTTTTTTTTTCGGATGCAAATTCAAGAAAGGAAGAGTGTAACGGAATAATAAATTCAACATGAAAAATGTAAACTAGCTGACGCCAAACAAGGATAATCTCGTAAAAAAAAGCACCAAAAGAAAATTTTATTAAACATACCTTCGAACCCGGTAACCCACTTGGCTAAGACAGTATCCGATTAAGGATGAGGCCAACTATCTAGAATTTTTCTGTACAGTCTGCTTTTTATATACAGTAATGTATTCTGTTATAGCTAACATGTTTTTTCATGTTGTAATATTGTATATATATATTCATGAATCATTCATACAAAAACAAATATAGAGGTTAATGATTTAAATGACGAGAATACTTCGTCGCAAACAATTTCAATAAGATACATTATGAATTTATAAATTATATTTGCACCTTTTAATTGAAATTAAAATAACTGATCCAACGTGCAACTCTCGGATAATAAGTGTGACATTACTGTAATTATTGAACAATATAGTTCATGCCATATTCACGGAAAATCTACCAGTAAAAAAGAATTCTCTTATTGCTATATTTGTACAAAAACGCAGAACCTTAAAACTTAAATTCAAACTCAGCGTTGCGACCGCACGTTCCAAAACAATAACACATTTCTCATAGCATTTTTTCGGATTACATCTCTATTTTCGTTGTCCTCTTATTACTGAGAAGTAAAAAAACAAGAACAAAAAATCTACTTCCATACCTGATGATGTCTGTAGGAACAGACGAATGCCTGTAAAAAATTAAAAAGACCTTATGCAACTGGAATTTATAAACGGGGATCATATTCATATACAGGTTCGGGGTTGATGTATCTTATTTATATTGTTTGCGATGATGTATTCTCGCCATTTAAATCATTAACCTCTATATTTGTTTTTTGTATGAATGATTCATGAATTTATAAATTATATTTGCACCTTTTAATTGAAATTAATATATATATATATATATATATATATGGAGAGAGAGAGAGGGAGATTCTGCTGATTTTGCTTATAGAATGTTATTAACCAAGTTACAACGTCTTTCTCTAACGTCTTCGGGTACATTTCACGCACGGGCATTATTTATCCGAATCTTGCGATGATATCTTGCGACGGTTATGTCAATGTAAGTAGAAAAATTAGACGATAAGAAAGCCAACCTGCGGCCTTCGACCAAGACGCCTCATTATGAGTTTCTTCCCAATTGTTGCTATCCGTTCTTCGTTATTCTACATTTATAGCCCCCCCTTTTTTGCCTTTTATTGCCCTTCTGACTGTCCTCTTTCTTTTCTTCTCTCTTTCTTTTGTTCTTTCTTTCTTTCTATTTATGATTGTCTACGTTTTCATCTTTCTGTTTGTATTCCCTGTCACCCTTTGTCTCTATCCTCTATCGCCATACGCTCCCCTTTCTTCTTTCTTCTTGTTCTTTTTCTTTTTCTTTTTTCTTCTTCTTCTTCTTCTTCTTCTTCTTCTTCTTCGCCATTTCTTTCTTTCTTTCTTTTTTACTTTCTTTCTTTTGCTAGTTCCTTCTTTCTGATTATGACTGTCTACTCAGAATATACAATACGATACGGTGCTCCCCCACTCTACTACATATCAATTTTCATAAAGTAGTCTTCATATAAAATAGAAATTTTATTGTGGCCTAATTTTTTTTTTTCAAGCATTTCACCCCAAGCAAGGCGGGAAGCCACTAGGACGCAAGGGGTTACAGAAAATTTAGAGCAAGATCAGATAGGAGTGATAGAAGAAAGGATGAGGGTAGTGGATAGATCAAGGCAACTAGAGATGTCGATTGACATTACACTTGAATAGCTGGAGATTATAGCTCACAGGGAAACAGGAGAAGGGAAGGGAGTTCCACAGGCGAGAGGTGCGAGACATGAAGCTATTAGAGTAGAAGAGACGGCTACATTTAGGAGTTTCGACGGTGAAGGGGTGAGAGCGGGATGCCAGCCTCGTAGGGCGCTGGAACTCATGACGTCTGGGAACCAGCGAATGCAGCTCCTCGGAGCAATTTCCATGAAAGTATTTGTAGAACAGACAGAGGGAGGCGACGGCGCGTCTGTGAGAAAGTGACTGTAGACGAGACGCCAGGGCAGGGCCAACCACATTGCATATCCGCCTATGGAGCCTATCAAGAACCCCGAGGCAAACAGAAGGGGCACCAGACCATATATGGCAGCAATATTCCATGCAAAGGCGAATTGTGGATTTGTAGATCTGGAAGATCGACTCCGGGGAGAAAAACTTCCTAGCGCGGCTCAGGGAGCCAACTTTCCTTGCAGTGGATGAGGCAATTGACTCGATGTATTTATTCCATCTCAGGTCAGCAATTATATACAATAATGAATCCTATGCAATATAGAGGATCAATTCAACTGGAAAAATTGAAAATAAATACAATGTATCTAAACAGAAATTAGACATATCATAATAGATCATTCCATCTTAAATAAGATAGAATATACATTTTCAAGACTTAGCCTAAAAAAAAAAACAAATTCACGGAAATCTTTTCATCTTTTATTAATTGTGCTTAGTTTAATTAGTAAGGTATATAAATGTAGGTAAAAAAGCAAATGTTGATAAATTAGTCAGGGTCGCAAATGACTACACGGGGCTTGTCATCAGGTTTTCACCATCCCTGCTCTTAAACCATAATCTTTTATGTCCTGGACATGCCTTACAGAAATGGAGGATCGTCGAAGAAGCTTGTGCGTCTTTTATGCCGTCAAATACAGTAAGTAGAAACTCAGTCCAAAACAGACTCATTACTCTCTGGTATGCGCCCTATACATATTGCCTAAGCTTACCTCAGTCTGGATAAAACAAATGAAAGCAACATTTACGGAATGAACAAGACTGAAGTATATAAGATGTCCTAGAATCTCGAGTGTGACAATTCAACCTCAAAGTTCCTCGATTTGAAACTGATTAATCTATCAAACGAGGTTACGTGAGCATGAGGAAGGTTTTCAAACTATCAGATGTGGCCTACCGGCAGTTTTCTTTTTCGACGTGTTTGGGACCGGTGAGCGAAGTTTTCCAATCAAGCTGGAGATGATATTGGAAGGCGCTGTCCCATAAAAATGTTTTTTGAGACATGCGATGTAGCAGAATCATTTTGTGACTATCTTTACTAAACAAGGGGGCATCAAGCATTGTCCTGATGAATGACGACATTCTTCCAGTTGACCAATTGGGATACTTTCCAACGATTGCCGCATTTCATCGACCCAACTGGGAACTGTACTGGTTCGAATTCATTGTATTATTATACGAAAGTAGCTAGTTATACACAATGTCCTTCCAACCACTTCGAGATGACCTTCTCAAAGGGCGGTCAGGTATTTCGTTTTCGCCAGGACCTTTTTCGCTCTATACATGTGCTTCTCAGACTATCAGATGTCGCTTACCGACAGTTTTCTTTTTCAACGTGTTAGGGAACGGTGAGCGATGTTTTCCAATCAAGCTGGGGGTCATATTGGAGGGCGCTGTCCCCTAAAAAAGTTTATTGAGATATGGCAGAATCATTTTGAGACTATCTTTACTAAGCATGAGGAAATGGTACCATATTCATTCTAAGGCGTGTTATCATTGACGTAACAAGTCTTTCCTGTGTGCCATGGACCTGTGTTATATTTGTGCCATAGAATTTTATAATAACGTTCCAAAAAATACTATTTGAACATTCGTATTATTACTCATTTATACCATAAAAACATAAGAGATATATTAAAAGTTGCAATTTTTTTTGTCGAAATATATCCATGACGACACACTTCCAGTTGGCTAGTTGGGACACTTTTCAGCGATTGCCGCATTTCATCGAACCAACTGGGAACAGTACTTGTTCGAATTCATCGTATGATTATGCGAAATGAGCTAGTAATACACAATGTCCTTCTAACCATTTTGAGATGACCTTTTCAAAAGGCAGTGTGTTATTTCGTTTTCGCCAGGACCTTTTTAGCTCTATACATGTGCTTCTCAAACTATCAGATGTCGCTTACCGACAGTTTTCTTTTTCAACGTGTTAGGGAACGGTGAGCGATGTTTTCCAATCAAGCTGGGGCTCATATTGGAGGGTGCTGCCCCCTAAAAAATGTTTATTGATATATGTGATGTAACAGAAAGAAACATGAGAACGTGGTGCCATATTTATTCTAAGGCGTGTTATCATTGACGTAACAAGTCTTCCCTGTGTGCCATGGACCTGTGCCATATTTGTGCCATAGAATTGTATAATAACAGTCCGAGAAAATACTATTTGAACATTCGTAGCATTATTCATTTATACCAGAAATACATCAGGGATATAATAAAAGTTTCATTTTTTTTTTATTTAATATTGATTTTGTTGAAATATTTCCATGATAATGGTATTTTCATATTCCTAGGTGTAGTTCCCTAATCGCCATATTATGATGAGGGTGTTGTCATACGTATTTTATTTCACTGTTTTGCTACTCATTATATTACATTCGTTAGCTGTATGGCAATGAAATTTAACATGAGCTGTAATTGAAAAATGTAACCATAAAAAATATAAAACTAAAATGGAAATATTAAAATAAAATCGAGTCAGATATCCCGACAGTCTTCCGTGGAGTGGAATGTAACTACTCTTTCTTTGTTTCCTCCACCGGCACACGTACCACACTTTGAGTACCACTGTTCTAGTCGGTCGCTTATGTTCGAAGGCGTGATCGAATCTTCCCTTGTTCGCCACCGATGTTAATGATTAACATAACCAACTTTTATTTATCCTTCCAGTGACTTCGATATTAATCGGAATGATCATTTACACGCATGCCTACGCACCTTGAGCATCATTACGTTCGCGCACTGGTCATTTAATAGATTAGACGATAAGAAGGCCAACCTGCGGCCTTCGACTTTGCACCAAGACGCCTCGTTATGAGTCTCTCCCCAATTGTTGCTATCTGTGCTCCGTCATTCTACATTTATGACTTCTTTTTCGCCTTTTATCGCCCTTCTGACTGTCCCCATTCTTTGTTGCTTTCTTTTCTTCGTTCTTTCTTTCTATTTATGTCTACGTCTTTATCATTCTGTTTGTATTCCCTGTCACTCTTTGTCTCTAACATCTATCGTCATACTCTCCCCTTTCTTTCTTTCTTTCTTTCTTTCTTTCTTTCTTTCTTTCTTTCTTTCCTTTTCTTCTGCTTCTTCGTCAATTCTTTCTTTCATTGATTTTTGTTTTTTCTTTCTTTTGCTTGTACCTTCTTTCTATTTTTGACTCCATACCCTTTCTTTTTCTTCTTCTTCTTTGCCAGTTCTTTCTTTTTTCTTTTCTTTTGTTCGTTCCTTCTTTATATATATATATATATATATATATATATATATATATATATATATATATATATCCATTATCTCCCCTTCTTTTTCTCTTCCTTTTTTCTTCCCCAATTCTTTCTTTCTTTCTTTCTTTCTTTCTTTCTTTCTTTTCTTTCTTTTGGCCGTTCCTTCTGTATTACCTCTCAGTCTGTGTCTCTAATTCTATCTGCATAGCCTCACCGTTCTTCTTCTTCTTCTTCCTCTTCTTCTTCTTCTTCTTTTTCTTCTTCTTCTTCTTCTTCTTCCTCCTCCTCCTCCCCTTTTATCTTCTTCTATCTAACTTTTTCCCGTCCTTTCTAATTAGAGGCCGTCGGCAGAGTAAACATGCGTGAAATTGGCGTTAGTTAACCGACATTTCTACGATTGGCCTGCAAGCAAAATAACGAAGTAGCGAATGCAGCGCTAGAGGGTGAGAGTTTCAAACTCGGGCTCAGGGGGTTTTGTTGCAGGATTAAGGACCCGATTAATGAAAATTTGGAAGAGAGAGAGGCTAGAGAAAAATATTGAAGTCACCAAAAGAGTTAGAAAACAAATGCTTGAACAAGAAATATAAAGGCAAGCAGTTTAATTGAAAATAAGAAATAGGGAATTATTAAAATTTTCAGATGGGAACATAATCGCTTAGTAAACATACCGATTTACGATAAAAGTCACATATCTCGCATGTGCGCAAAACAAAAATTGTTTATATAATCATGTCACTCTATAACTGTACGATGTAACCCAGTACTGCCTGGCGCAGGATCTTACTACCAGTTCCAAGTTTTTCGGGTGAGGGAGATAGCCAGACACACGGAAGCATGGGGATATAAATTCCTTCATGGGAGCAACGAACATTTCGCACAGACGCAGATGTGTGAAAATAACTGAGTTTTGGTTCAGGCACGCGGGAAACTGACTGGTAGATTTGAAACCTTTCGCCTTCGTTAAGTTATCCAAATCAAAAATGGAAAACGCTTATGTCATTCAAAAACGATGGCTGGTTCTTCTTTTTGGACACATGCTGTTTTTGCTTATTCAGGGTTGCCGCTGAAAGACTGAATGATATAAAACAAAAATAAATTTTACAAACACATGAGTACCTTGGGGTAGTAAAGTTTGCGCCATTTGAATCTTGGATGGGAAACAAATTTAAATCCATTTTCAGAATCTTCTGAAGCGATATTCTAGCGATGCCGAGTTGAACAGAGCGACGACGGGTAGAAGCTGATGGATCCTCAAGGATTTTCTGCCGTACAGCTTCCACCGACTGCATAGTGCGCTTAGGACCTCTTCCCGGATGATCGCCGACTGATCCACTTATTTCAAACTGGGCAATTAGGTTCCGAATCATGCTAGAAGATACTCTGACATTAAAATATTGCCAAAATTTAATGTAAGTTTGAATAAATTATCTTTCATTGGAACAGAAAACTCAACGATTTCTGCTCGTTACTGGACATCATATGTAGCCATTTTAATCTCCAAATGAAGCTCTATAACAGGCAAAAAAATTGATTGAAAACGAACCAGTTCTGACTTTTTTTACAGTGGGAAATTTGCCAAAGAAAATGACGCACCTTGTATCCCTTTTTCTTCATGGAATCCACTTTCAAGATATGCGTGATTTACAATAAAACTACTGGCAGTTATTATCGCAAAGCAATGCTCAGTTATCGAAGTTCTGTCTGAAGGTCAAAAAAGTTCTTTGAAAATTTTATTTTTTATTTCTTCTGGGTTACGGAGAGAAACTGTAAGCCAACACGTAATGTTAATATCTATGTCTACATTGTTCACGCAGGCACCCACTCATTCATATATATATATATATATATATATATATATATATATATATATATATATATATATATATATAGATAGATAGATAGATAGATGTGTGTGTGCGCGCTTGTGCGTGTGTGTTCTGTCATGTATATATATATATATATATATATATATGTGTGTGTGTGTGTGTGTGTGTGTGTGAAAGGTGGTTCCTGAAAGACTGAATGATATAAAACAAAAATAATTTTTACAAACACATCAGTACCTTGGGGTAATAATGTTTGGGCCATTTGAATCTTGGATGGGAAACAATTTTAAACCCATTTTCAGATTCTTCTAAAGCGATGTTCTAGCGATGCCGACTTGAGCAGAACGACGACGGGTAGAAGCTGATGGATGCTCAAGGATTTTCTGCCGTACAGCTTCCACCGACTGCACAGTTCGCTTAGGACCTCTTCCCGGATGATCGCCGACTGATCCACTTCTTTCAAACTCGGCAATTACGTTCCGAATCATGCTAGGAGATAATCTGACATTAAAATATTGCCAGTATTTAATCTGATTTAATTGATCTTTCATTGGAATAGAAAAACTCAATGATTTCTCCTCGTTAGAGGACATCATATGTAGCCATTTTAATCTCCAAGTGATGCTCTATAACATGCAATAATAATAATAATAATAATAATAATAATAATAATACGATTGAAGGGGGTATTTTCTCTATCAGCTGCAATAACTGCTACTCGGTATACATAGAAAGGACCTCGAGGAATTTCATTATAAGATCATATGAACACAAAAGGACCTTTTACAAAACAACACACACCGTGCTTAGTTGCTCATTGTAACGAGGCTGACCATAATTTTCGATTTTAAAAATGTTAATTTAATTAAAAGAGAACGCAATTTACGACGACGAAAATGCATAGAAAGTGTTTTAATTGCTAGATCATCCACTGAAAATATACGTTCAGGTTCTTACAACATTTCAGCTTGCTTGGCAGATCTTCTATCATAACAATATGAGATATTTAATTAAAATAAAAGTGATGAAACACAAAGAAAAAATAAACTAAATAAAATTGGCTGGAGCAGTGCTACTCAAAGTGCGCAACGCGAACCATCGTCTGCCGGTACGCTGAGAGTTTCCAGGAAAATAAAAGAAACAGTAGTCACATTCTACGACACGGGAGACTGCCAGGATATCTGACTCGTTATTTTTTTTAAAACATTATATTTATAATGGTTACATTTTTCATTTAGTCACTCATGTTAGAAGTCATTGCTATACAACTAATGAATTTGATATAATGAACAGCAAAACATTCAACTGAAATATATATCGCATTTTCATTTCTTAATTTGTCCTTTAAATTATTCGTCCGACTGTGGAAAAAGAAGTAACCACGTGGATTTGGGACAAAATTATTAAAATTAGCATTTAATTCCTTAAATTAAGAATCTATTTGCTATAATTTATATTATCTCGGATAGTTATTCTACATATATTGATGCCTTCATGTGTATAGGTTTATAAAATTCGCTTGAAAATGAACCAGGACAAATGACTTTAATTTAATTCTATAATTGAATTTGAAGTTTTTAGCCTCTGTTTTTGAAACATAGTAAATCCTGTGTAGTGATGGAACCATATTTTAAATTAGTAAATTTATAATATTTATGATCTGTAGATTTGCATTGGGCACTGTTTTTAAAAATAAAAATAATTAATAAGAACACCGGATTATATATCTTACTGTTCCTTCTCTTTATTATAATATATATATATATATATATATATATATATATATATATATATATATTTGGTTGGATAGATGTGAGTTTGTGACCCTGGGTTTCACGCTTTAGCGATCGTCAGACAAACGATATTGAGCGCTTTCTAATAAGTACCGCATATAATATATAAATAATTATACATACTTATATTTATTTATATTTATATACATTTTTCACACACACACATATATATATATATATATATATATATATATATATATATATATATATGTGTGTCTGTGTGTGCGCGTGTGTGTGTGAAAATATATAGAAAATAGGAAAGAACTCGTTAGGTAAATAATCCAAAGTTCTTTTAGTATTTTTGTTATTATTTTAAAAAAATAGTACTCGATACAAAAGTAGAGCATAAATATAATTATTTATTTAAAAATATGATTCCAACACGCTAAATAAGTTATTCAAAAAAAAAATCTCGCTTGAAGATGGAACAGAGTTTACTTTAATTCAATTTAATTCAAATAATTATATTGAAATTTTCGGCTCTTGTTTTGAAACATGAGACCTCTTATGTAGCGTGTTGAATCATATTTTTGAATAAATAATTATATATATATATATATATATATATATATATATATATATATATATATAATTTGTAGGTTAATGCACCTGTAAAATTTTGTTAGCGAAGGGATTTCGCCATTTTATATCATTAACTTTACTAATCTATTTTTTGTATGAATGACTCATTGTAATATAAATTGAACTGCACGACATATTTGATTTAAAAGAACTGAACTGACGTGCAAATGTTCGGGGTAACAATAGAGACATTACTCTATTGGACAGTTTAGTTCATGCCAAATTGACTGATAAACTCAACCTTAGTGTTGCGATTGCACGCTCCAAAAGTTTGTATCCGTTAACAATAACACATTTAAACAAACAACAACATATATATAGTATATATTATATGGTATTTCATTTAATATTCTGAGACAGATTAAACAACGGAGAAATAATGAATAAATCTCTTCTTTCCAGTTGGGTGTTATAACCACTTAGCTATACCAAACTATTTAACCTTGATGCTAATGATTGGCAAAGAACTGTGAAATAAAATAACTCCTGGAGGGGCACGAAAAACTCTCCAGATGTTCTGGTCATCAAACTGTGAGATAACTAGGTAAAAAGGAGAAAACGTTTTCCCTTAAGCACAACTCAAAAAACATTTCAAAGTCTTCGAGATTTTCCTTGAAGTGGATATTTCGTAGAGAAATCATTTAGTCTATTTATTTTTAAGCTCTGAGAGAAAAAAAAAAGAATAAAAGCCTCTGTGGCACTTTACTGTGCCGACAAAAATACGCCCAGTAAGAATGGTGACAAAAAACTAAGTAAGACATGGAGAGTTTAATTTAAGTAGGGAAAAGGAGACATAGTTGCAGTCTGATGCCGTTCTGGGAAAATGTCTGTCTGTTGCAAAACTAAAAACCAGACAGAATCAGATTCACCAATCTGGTCAAAGAAGCTACCGAAGGATCTGCTAATCCTCCTAATCCACTGAAACAGCCACAAAGAATCTTCATACTAAAAAGATGTAAATACCCAGAATGCAGTGTTATTTATCGGTAATATTTCAATTGTTTTACATGCAAGTAATCTGTTTAACTCTTTATTAAATGTAGCTTAGACTTAGTCAGTATTAAGAGGATCGTGCTCGGAACAGTGTAAAAATATTAAATACTGCTCCATATCCTGATATATAAATAGAATAA